CGTTCCTTTAAGAGGATATGAGGGTAGAAGGATGTAGGCAAGACAGTTTATCTACCTGTGTTGTGACCGTGGTGAAGTGCAAGCCGCTGGGAGTTGAGAGCAGATAATCATGGAGGACCTTTATAAACAAATAGGGTGGAAATCTTACAGTCTGTTGAGGACTTAAGGTAAAATGGCGTCATCAGAAGTATATATTGCTTTCCTGCATTGCCATTCTGATACTGGGGGATTCGGGAGTCAGTGTGCATTTTTTCCTTAAAGAGAATCCTATTTATGTGCAGAACGAAGATACATTTCCAAACAAGAATGTTTTCAAAGTGAAATGGAGTGTTTTATTTCATACCAGTGCTGCAAGGATGGAAAGCATTGAAGATTATCAGACCGTAGCGGGTTGTGTCTTTTAACAAAATTATTTAAAAACCACAACCGCTCAGGCTTTAATATATTGTGAAATTTAACCAAAACATTATTTTTTTTCTGCTGTCATCTTCTGGCAGAAAATGCACAAGTATTGTATTTAGACTTCCTTTTTTTCTTCTGTAGAAAGTGGACCTTTTCAGTCTGGGGATAATATTCTTTGAAATGTCTTACCATCCCATGAGTACTGCATCAGAAAGAATCTTTGTTCTTGGTCAACTGAGACTAGTAAGTATGCAGAGAGAGTGATTGTGTGCATCAAACAGTTTATTAAAAGCAGGAAAAGTATGTAAAACTTTGCAAAAGTGTTTCCAAAGGAAGAGCTTTTTAAAAAAAAAAAAAAAAAAGCTTATAAATGATGTAATAAAAAGGGAAGAATAAAATTAGAGCTGCTAGTGACATCCCCTTAAGGCACTGTGTATTTCCTGAAGATGTTTCTACCAGTCAGTGTTTGCCTCAATGTCAGGGAAGTTTAATTTTTGTAGTGCAAAACATTAGAGGTGTAAAGTTTAGATAAAGAGATCAGGGTTTTAGTATACCTGGGTTCAGACCCTGTAGGTCTTGATCAGGAGCAAGTTCATAGACTATAATTGTGCTTGCTAAATGTCTTTGAGTATGGATTGTTTCTTACTTAATTTTACAAAACTTCATAAAAGCATTTCAGCAATGGTTTTCTTGCCTTTAGCTCTTCAAAATACATTTGCCATGTGGGTTTTGTTTTTCCCGTGGGCAAAAAAAATGCCTAATCTCACTGTTTAAAAATGTAGGACTTAAAAATAAGACTAGCCTGCACAAGCTGGACTGCCTGTTCTAATTCAAACATATTTCTTCTTCTGTAGCCCGCTATTGTATTTCCAAAAGACTTTGATGAAGTCAAGCATGCGAAGCAGGTAATTTTGAAGACATTTTAACTATTCGGTATTCCCTGTCAAGAAATGTTAATTATTGTTTTTCCCCACTAAATTTTAAATTAGCAATCTCTACTGAGTTATTGTTACATGACGTTAGAACAAAGTTTAAAACAAACTCCGAAATCTCAAAAGAGTAAAGTAAGTAAAGTTGCCACTGAAATATGCTTACCCACAAAGTTTCATGAGCAGAGTCATAATGAAATATAAAGTTCACTGGCATACCTTTTAAGTTCGAAGGGTCAATTTTTGACTTTCAGGTCAGAAAAATTGCAGCTATGTTATTTAGCTCGTGCTTTAATCTTTTGAAAGTAGTCTGTGCCACAGAACAGAAAGAATGTGTACAAGTTGAAATGACTGCTGTGAGTTTGGAAACGGGTGCCAAGAGGTATTCTGGTAATTAGGGACAGTCAGAACTCAATGGGTTGGAATGAGTTTTCCTTCCTTCCCCCCCCCACCCCCTATTTTTTTTTAAATCTCATTTTATTCAGTCATGCCTCCGTGGCTGAGGAGTAAAGTGATATGGAACAGGATAATCTCTTCTGGACCATCTAGAAAAATCTAGAGAAATATTTTTCTTATACGAGTGGACTCTCCTTTTGACCATTAATCAGCTGTTGATTTTGCCTGTGGAACAGCAATCTGGTTCTTGTTAGTACCATAAAATGTTTCCATCTTATACAGTTTACCAAAATATGTCTAATGCATGTTTAAATACTTGTCAAATGGAACTTTCATCAGCCAGGAAAATTACCACGTCTTTAATATATATAACTCATAAATCTTTGTTGTTATGCGTATGATTGTCTTCTCTTCTCCTTGTTAATAAAGAGATGGCAAAGCTAGCATAATAGAACAAAAAGAGACACTACGTATTTTATGTCACCCCAAGAGACTTGACTAGATGAACAAACTTCTAGTAATGTCTGTGCTTTAGTAATTTTTATTCAGATAATATCACAATAAAAGATATTAAGAATTTAATAAGAAAAGAATATCATCCCCAGAGATACAAATCCTGCTTTCTTTTTTTTCTTCTGTAGTCTCATAATTTTATTAATGTGATGTGACTAAGAATGTTGTTTTAAATACCGCTAGCACTAAAAAAATACATAAAATTTCGATTTAATTTGTAGAGATTGGTTATTACATGGCTCTTGAACCATGATCCTGCTGCACGGCCAACTGCTGTGGAGCTGTTGAAAAGTGAACATCTTCCACCACCACAGATGGAGGAATCTGAACTTCATGAAGTACTCCACCATACCTTAGCCAATGTGGATGGAAAGGCTTACCGGACTATGATGAGTCAAATATTTTCACAGCGCATATCTCCAGCTATAGACTATACCTATGACAGTGATATGCTGAAGGTTTGTAGGTGTTTTAATTTTTTTTTTTTGCCCCTGTTTTGGGTTTTGAAAAATGTTTATATGAGTAAACTCCAATCATGTTTTCTATGATTGCATTACCTCTAAGATTAATCTTGCACATCAGTTCCTATTTAAAGCCACAAATCTGGACTACGTTCGCTTGAATACCCGCTTCCCATTTGAACCTTACATTCGTTCCTCAGTGAGGAAATAAGCAGTGTCTGATTGTAGCAGCAAAAGCTCCAAACTTATCTGCACACAATTACTTTTCTACTCTTGATCTCTATCAAATTAATGGTACTTTCATCTGATTGCCAGCGTAATGTTTTGACTTTGACTAGTTTCCACAATGGTGGCAATTAAAATAATGCTTCTCTATTTCTAAACTCTTCAAAACTTTCTAAATCTAAAAAATACAAGGTAGCATAGTACAATAATGCTTTGTATGACTGTAATTGTTATCTCTGAGAGCATTACAACATGTTATAGCGATAAGAAGAGAAGATAGCAGAGTGCTTATTGCCTATATTACATAGAATGTTCATGGCATATGAATTACATGTGTACTTCTTATTTGTGATGGTTTCAGGGTAGTTTTTCTATTTGGGCAGCCAAGATACAGCAGCACGTATGTGAGATTGTCAGCCGGATTTTTAAAAGACATGGTGGGTTTATTTACAAAAGTTGTTCATTTCCTTTTTCATGCTTGAATGAATTTAAGAGAATGGAATGATTTTACTACTGTCACGTGAGTTGCAAACTATGCTGAACAGTAATTGCAAATCATTTGAGGTTGATTGTTATTTTGGCCTCTTAGTAATAGCTGTCAATTTCAAATCTGAATAATATAAATTCTCAGTAGAAAGAACAGTGAAAATCTTATTATGATGTCTTTTGAATGTATTTTGTTGTTCTGATTAGCTTGTAGGAAATGCTACATAAAATCCAGAATGTAAGGACAGCTCTACAGTGAGAGACCAGGCATCATCTAGCACAGTAACTTCCCTCTGACCGTAGCCAGAAGAAAAAAAAAAGGAATTGTATAGTGGTGGTTTCATTGAGGCTGCTCTTAACAATGATTTGCTGCTCAGGAAGTTCCTGAGCCATAGCTGCTGTCAGGATGTTTAACAGTCTGTGATTGTTTTTCTGTCCATGACTTTATCTAATCATTAGTAATAGTATTTGCTTAAAATTAATTTTTAAGAACGGAAGAAAATTTATTCGCCTATAGACCCATTTAAAATGTTTTAAATCACATTATTTTACACTGATTTATTAAATTATTTTCTGCAAAAAAAATTTAAAATAGGAACAGGCAGTTTCCTAATGTATCATAATCTGATTAAGCATGAGTTAGCAGTACAAAAGAATGAGAAACTGGGAAATATGAAACCAAACAAGAAGAAGCTACTTTTTTTTCTCTCTCTATTTAGATTTTGTCAAACTTTGGAAAGCATTTGTCAGTCTGCAGTTTAGAACAGACTGAAAGATTCTCACTCAACTTCTCTTTTGGAAAGAGACTGGGGTTTTGTGGAATTTCTTTTTCCCATTAAATACTATCTATTACCTGTAATGGTTGGGATTAGCATTTCCTTATTTTGGGGGCTTTTTTCTCCTCTTTTAAATGCTTATATTGAAACCAGTTGAAGACATTCGTAAAGCTTCTACAGTAAAATAGCTATTTGGGGATCAGTAGAGAATTTAAAACAGGGAAGTATTTTTTCAATAATTAGTGATATTATTGTATAGTCATACAGACAGATGATAGTAAGATACAGCAAACACTCCTTTTGTCAGAAAACAAATGGTAAATTTGTGATGTTTTAAAGTGAACCCTGAACACTTATGGTACCTTTTGAGACACAAGATCCAGCGAACTTGGCCTTTCATGGTGTTGGAATGATACATATTCTCCATAGCAGTGCCTCTAGACCGAAATAGTACTACTGGTATCCTAAAGAGTTTCCCATTTGTTCCTTATGCCTGCGTTTGTGAAAGATGATGTTTAAATAGTGAGAGGAAGGTCAAGATTCTGCCACACTGTGGAATTAGCAAGCCTCCTGCTTCTTTGAGGGCTTTCTGGGGCTTCCAAGAAGTGTGCAGGACAAAACATGAAAATGTGTTTGATGGCTTTCTTTAATAGACTTTCCTCCACCATTTAAAGACATTCAAAATAATGTGATTTTTTAAAAGGTATTGGTAGAGATTATCATATCAGGTTGTTTATGAGCTTATAAAAAGCAGACGTTACTTTTGAAATGGGAGTTAATAGTATTTTACCATCTTTGTGTAGGAGCTGTCAAGCTGCATACTCCACTGCTAATGCCTAGAAACAAAAAACTGTATGAACATAATGAAGCTTCGTATTTCATGGATCACAGTGGGATGCTGGTGATGCTTCCCTATGACCTCAGAGTAAGTAGTATCCTCTCTGCAGACATAGCTGGATTTGAAGATTTCTACGTTGTTTGTTAATGCTTTTGATTCACCGGTCAAGAATTTGGTTTAGGCTTCTACTTATTCTAACTGCTGAAGCAGTGGATCTTTCAGTGTCTGTTCCTGTTCGTCTTAGTGCTGTCCTCCTATTCTTGGTATCTGGAGCCTTGACCTCAAAGGGGGAAAAAAAATTCCATGTTACAAACGTGGTAGATGTCACAGCTGCTATTTTTTTTTTCATGCACATGTATGAGAAAAAGGACCTTTCCCATGACCAATGAAAATTCCAATATTCCTTTCTTCTTTATATGCCTTTGTAGAGAATATGTGTAACTGTCTGTCTGGTTTTGTGTTCGTCTCTGCTAACAGATGCTCTTAAGAGTCAGGCTGTAGGGCTGCTCTGGAGAGGGATTGCTGTATGCACAGTTGACGTTATGCTCTGTCTGTGATTCCTCTGTATTTACTGCCCAATTACATGCAATGTTAGTATAGTTAATTAACTTAATTTAACACCAAAGTACTTAAAGTTTTATTTTTTTTATTTGTTATTGACAGTTAAAGATCCTGACTTTTTATATTCCATTGCACTAACTTAACTCATCTTTCCTCTGCATTTATAACATCAAACTGTATGGTATGATCCACAATTAAGGATATTGAACATAGATACAGAATAGAGGATATTGAACTTTCTGTTGGAATTGCTAACTTTGGAAAATACAGTGCGAAAGAGTTAAACAAATATTCCGCTATATCTTTATGTGAACAGAAGAATACCTGCTAATACGTTGTAATAGCCCTTGTTTGTGATGCGTTTTGCATGCATCAGGATAATTAAGATAGTTATTTGTGTCTGTTTCCAACTACTTCATATGGGAAAGTGTTTTTAATAATAGTAAAGACTTGGACCAAAGACTTGCACCAAAGACAATTAATCTTATTTGACTATGGCAAACATTTTAAGGCATTGTTACACGTGTAAGAGTGGATGTGTAAACGTCTTAGTAGTAACTCATCTCCAGTTTCAGAGCATAGTCAGAATGCATGTTTTGTTTCAGCCATTTTTTTTGGTTTTTGTTGTTGTTTTTCAGATTCCTTTTGCAAGATATGTAGCTAGAAATAACATATCAAACTTGAAAAGGTAAGGGATGCAAAGAGATGACACTTTGTACAGATGCCGTGTTTTATGACAGTGAGCACGGAAGATGTTGATTCATTCTTTGATGTTTTCTTCAGATACTGTATAGAGCGAGTTTTCAGACCTCGGAAGTTAGACCGCTGTCATCCCAAAGAACTCCTAGAATGTGCATTTGACATTATTACATCCTCTGGAAATAGCTTTTTGCCTGTAGCAGAAACAATTTATGCTATTTCAGAAATCATTCAAGAATTTCCAGTGCTACAGGTAGATCCTCTAATCATACCCCCCCTGGTTAATAAAATTTTTAGTATTTTTTTTACTCTTCTTCCATCCGAAGGTTTTAAACTAAGTAAATGTTTAGTCACATGTGTTTAAAAAGAATAGTTGCTTTAACCTCAAAAAGCACAGAATTTTCTGTTTTGTATTTGAATCCTTGCAGTGCTGTTGAAATAACGTCTCTGCTCTGTTAGACAAGTGATACCGTAGAAAACTGTAGAATGGTGCAGATCTTATTATTCTTTAGTTATAGATGGGTGATAAGGTGATAGAGGGACAGATCTAAAGTTAGTTTTGAACAATGGAGAAGTTATTAAAGGCTTAGGAGCTTTTTCTTTTTTTTTTTTTCTTTTTCTTTTTTTTTTTTTAAGAAACTGGAATGCTAGTAAAACATTAGAATTTTTTTTCTTATGCTTTGCTAGGAAAGAAATTACAGTATTTACTTGAACCATACTGCCTTACTGAAAGCTATACTTCTACACTGCGGGATACCAGAGGATAAACTCAATCAAGTCTACGTCATTCTGTATGATGCAGTGGTAGGTTATTTTTATTAGTTATTAAACTAATTTCTGTATTCATTACTGCAGAGTATCTTATTCTGTGGGGTTTATTCATTCTTTTGAGTTGTGTTCTTTATTTGTATCTTTTTTATTAATTTACACAAGCATTTCAGTATTCCTTTGTATTCGCTTCTTCAGAAGTGCTTTTCAAGAAAAGCTGAATTTTTGGTTTTTTTGGTTGTTGAAGTAACCAAACCGAATATGACCTCACTAAGAGATAAGTAGAAGAGGGTTATTTATTATTTTTGTTCTTTCGTGGTATTAAATACATAATATGTTCGTAAGTACAACCATTGTTGTGTTTTACTTCTTCTCTGCAATAGTAATTTTTTCTTGTTTGTAACTCAGTTGTTCTAAATATGTGTTTGAATCTGTTTCTTGTGCTGTAGACTGAAAAGCTAACCAAAAGAGAAGTAGAAGCCAAATTCTGTAATCTCTCGCTCACATCAAATAGTGTAAGTAATTTTATGTTAGTGTTAATTTCCCTGTAACTTGCCAAAAACCAGTAGTATTTTCTTTGCTTTGAAATGTGCTCAGGAAGAAAGATAAACTATTGCAGTTGCTGTCCAAAATAGATCAGTCTCTTTGGAAGTGGTGTGACTTTGTTCTTTGCTCTCTCTGTAAGTCAGTAATGGTACATTCCAAGTTTCTCTCTTCTCTTAAATGTGTTTTTCAGAGCCTGCAAATAGTTAGAGAGTAAATGAAATATTGTGCAGTGATATTCAGTAAAACAAACTGAGAGAAAATTTAAAATAATTGTCTGCAAATATTGGCTCATGTGTATAATGAGAGTTGAGGTAGACTTCTGGACACGAGAGTTTTGCCTGTCTATTTCTTTTCTCAAGTTATTAGGTAAAATCAGGTTGCTAGGTAACAGGAGTGAAAAAGGTGGATATTTTACCCACACTAAGTCAAATATTTTTCTTTTTTTAGGTGTTACCTATTTGAGCGTTGCAAGTGGTGCTGTAAATATTTGCTTTTTTTTTTTTTTCCCCCCCCAGCTTTCTCGGCTCTACAGATTTATTGAGCAGAAGGGAGAGCCAAGTAACGTATTTCCATTTTTAAACACAATGATAAAACAAAAAACAGGTGTCACTCAGCTCTTGAAGCATGGCATGAAGGATCTAGAGGAAATCATTGGTCTGTTGAGGCAACTTGGAATAAAACTTCAGGTTTGTAAAATATTCTGCTAATAAATTAATTATAGGTAGGCTACTGGATCTTCTCCTTTGCCAGAAAAACTGCTGTTATTTTAGGACAGAAAAAAATCAAAATGTGTTTTGAACAAGTAATAATAATGGTATTGATTTTTAGAGATGTATTTTCAGAATAAGACCTTTTCATGTCAGAAGTCTCTGGCTTGATTTTCATTTAATTGTTATACATAGGTTTCCAGCCAAGATTGAAGGCATTAACCTAGAGCATAAAGGATTTTAAAATTTTGAAATAACCTATAAATATTTTCAAAAACGAAAAAAGCTGATGACGACTGACGGTTTTACATACCCACACCGCTTCCCTGAGGCTTGCTGTTTGGGTTTTATGCTGAAGTTCTCTTGTGATGCTTTAAGTTTAAAGGATCCTTTCCTGATTTTCTTGATTGTATCTTAAGTTTTGGGGGGTGTCAGTGTTTTTATATGTCGTCTTTATGTGAAAATAGTGTTTGCAATGCATAGCGCTAATAGAAAATGAGTTATATTTATCAGTGATAATGGTACAAGACACATTAATTTTTATTTTACAGGTTTCTATAAATCTGGGACTAGTTTACAAAATACAGCAGCACAATGGTGTGATCTTTCAGTTTATAGCATACATCAAAAGAAGACAAAGAACTGTGCCTGAAATTCTTGCTGCTGGGGGCAGATATGATCACCTGGTATGCGCTCATCTCTTTTAATGAATTAAAAAAAAATGCAAAAACTTGTGGACGTTTTGCAAAGTTTGGGGCTTTTGTTTTGTTTTGTCTTGTTTTCAGATACCACAATTCAGAGGACCACAGACAGTAGGACCAGTTCCTTCAGCTGTTGGAGTCAGCATAGCTATAGATAAAATAACTGCTGCTGTTTCCAGTATGGAGGATTCTGTATGTTTTAAGTGCTTTTTTGTTTGTTTGTTTGGTGTTTTGTTTTTGCTTTTTTAGTCCTAACATTGGTAGCCTACTACTAATAGCTACTGTAGTAGCCATAACAGTAGCCTACTTGTAGCCACAGACAGGGAAAAATAAAGAGGTTCAGGTGTCCAAAATAATACTAAACTGAAAAAGGCAGCAAGCATCAAGACGACCTGTTTTCTTTTCTGTCTGTTTACATAGAATTTACATAGAATTTACATAGAATTTTTTAATAAAATAAGAATTCGGGGAAGAGAGGGACTTTCAGGTCGTTACCCTTGTAATTTAAACAATGCATAGTCTGAGAGAAAAATGTCCTGTTTAAGACAGAAGAATGCAATGCTAGATGTTTAGCTAGAAAGTGTTACTTTGCCCCTACCGTGTTGCCTCCCTGTAAATAAAATGCTGGGAGGTGGAAGGGACCTTAAGCAAATGGACTATTCTGTACATGTAACGCAATGTCACTTTGTTGTGGAATGTTTGTTTTATTTAAACTTTGCTTTGTAAGAATAAATTAATGCTGCCAAGCAGGGCAGGAAGAAAAGAAAAGTGAAAAGAAAAGAAAAGCAAGGCTAGGATACTTTGCAGCTGAGGCTGTACAGATGCCTTATTTGTCAAAGAGCAAGGCATACTTAGGAATATGGTGGCTCTAAAAAGAGATGGAGCTAACCTTTATTTCAGATTGATGCACTTTGAAATACAGTAATTTGTTTATCTTCCTTTGTTACATTGACTGCTTTATATTGGGGGAAAAAGGAGATCTATTTGCTAATATTGTCCCCTTGTTTTTACTTTTCCTTCAGGTTTCTGTCAGCTCATGTGACCTGCTGGTTGTAAGTGTTGGTCAGATGTCAATGGGTAGAGCTATCAATATTGTTCAGAAACTCTGGACTGCAGGAATTCCGGCTGAAATAATGTATGACTGGTCCCAGGTACAGCTTCTGTCTGCATATGTTAACTATATCCTTGTTCTCTGGGGTTGGTGCTGCCTGAAGCCATCTTTTATTGAATTTTTCCAAAATTTTCCAGTTTTTATTCAATTACAGATTGATGACACTGAGCACGTAGGCTGTTATTCAGATACAGTAATGTTAAATAAAGTCTCACTGGCACTGCAGTGCTATTCCTCTGTAGCTCCCAGAGTATTTAAAAACGTGATGAAGGATCTCTGCGTGCTCCTCAGAGTACAGAAGAATTAAGTGACCTGTCCCCCAGTTGCACGTTGACTGCAGAATCCAAGGCCCATTGACATAGAGAGGAAAAGTCATACAGTGAATTTGATATGAGGACAGTTAGTTCTGATTGAGTGAAAGGAAGTGAAAGACGCTTCACGACAGAAGCGTATTTTATGCTAGTGAAGGGCAATAAATTTTCCTGTCAGTGGGGCTGCAAATAGGATCAGTCAGTGAATTAATGAGTTAATTGTTAATAAAGGGCAGGACTGGAATGGAACAGTAGCATCAACTTTTAAACATATGCAGATGACTGAAGACTCTCAGGGACGAGGGGAATATTGACATCAGTCTGGTGTAAAGAATAGAATTTAGTGAACTGAGCTACTTACCTAGATATGCAAGGGGTTCTCCTGTAGTCCCCGGAGAGATGTGTGACAGGAGGGAATCGGAGTGGCAAACTGGCTCACGTGCCCTTTTTTCTCCAGTTGAAACTGGGCAGATACATAGATGCCACAGTGGGATAGAGAGGTACATGGCTGGGCTGAAGCATCTTTTAATAGTGGCTGCAATTATCAGAGGACTGTTATTCTGGTTCAGCTTTAAGTATGTCAGCTGGTGACTAACAAAAGAAATACCACTGAATCGCCCATTCTGAGTCATGTGCTGCAGAAGACACAGTTTTGAGCCGCTCATTTGCTTGCTGACTTTTTAGTACTCTTTCAGTATAGTATTTTCCACCATTTTGATTCCTCTATTCCGGATCATAATGCTTTATCTATGATCACCCTGGGTTCTCGTCCTTTTGCAATTATTAAGAGATGAAGGTCTGGGTAATTTTTGCCTCTGTCTAACGCTGCCCTGCAGCCCGCTGCCAAGTCAGCATAGCAAGCACTGCCATAAGTTCAGCACTGAGAATGACATAAGCCAGGCTCAGATTTACATGAAACCCAACTGGAGTCAGCTTTCGTGACAAGGTACCTGTCATGCAGGGCTGAGCTGTTACTGAGAGTTGTAGACAGTGGGGTAGTAATTGTTTGATTGACATTACATTGTAAATTTTTACTGTTGCCTAGACCCTGCACTTAGTGGAGAGAAACTGGAGCCTCTGGAACCTCATGTCACCCTGAAGATAATGTGTAAAGTTAGTTAAAGTTGTGTCTTAAAAGTGCCATTTCAACCTCTTGGCTCTGAAAGGAGTTTACAGTGTCTAGCTCAAATGTACACTTCTACAGTGTAGAAAGGAGGTGAGGTGAGAACCCTAACAGAATGGATCTCTGTAGACCTTATTTGATTAAAATGTGTGCAACTGGCATCATCGCCTAAGTCCGGTGAAATGCATGATAGGCTAAGTTTACACTGTGGGACTCCATAGATGGTTCCTTATTCTGGTCCCTGGCAGCATCGCATCCGTGCTGAAAGGAGACTGGACTGCGTTTCACTTTTCCAATATTGTTTGGGTTTCCTTTGGGAGGACACGTGGAAGACAGATAAGGAGGAAGCAGCAGTGTGCTCCAAAATGCCCCCCCATAAGAAGGCTGCATAGCTAGGACAGGGGGTGTACCGCAGAGCACGCCTTCCCCATAGAGTAGATTCAGCTAGCGCATGCGTGCGGGATCTGTGGCTGCAAGGCTAATCTCAGGACATCCAGTCTGTCTGTTGTAGACTTAGCCAGATTTCAATTTTTAAGGAGCATCAGGTGGATAAATATATACATAGTGAAGTTTCGCCTCCTGGACTTGTTATTCCTCACTCGGAAGATTATATACTCAGTGTAACTACTGCATATCAAGTTATTTTAACTGAGGACAGGAGACCTGGTTATGTAATTGATCATTTTATAATCGGCCAACTTTCTGTTCCATTCCCCCCACCCCATCTTGTCTTAGTCCCAGGAAGAACTGCAGGAATATTGCAGATGCTCTGGGATTACATATGTGGCTCTTGTGTCTGATAAAGAAGGAAGTCACGTAAAGGTAAGCATGGGCCAGGAAGATGTATGTTTGGTATTTCAGATTTGTAATCCGTTCTGCACTTTTTAAGACCATAAACATTACATTTTGTATAAAATATTTGAGTAAGTGGAATTCAGGTAAGTTCAGTTTCAGTTGGTAAGTAGTAGAAAATTCTCCTGAAAACGTCTGCTTCTTATCTCTCCACTGCACTGTTACTCACCAACCTCCTTAACTAGGAGAAAAAGTCTGCTTCATTTTGAGTTATCAGTGTGTCTTTATGTGGAAGAAGTTTTCGATTGTCTCAGATTTCTTTGAAACTCTGAAAAGAATTAGTTAACTCGGCCTTCTTTCAAGTTGACAGCTTTCTGTAGTTACAAAGCAGACATAACTAAATTGTGAATCTAAAAAAGACGTGAACAGTTCTAAAATATCCTTGATTCTGGATCATTATGAAAAAGATCCATATTCATTTAATGAAAAAAAGTAATCATGACAGGATCTGGCATAGTCATGCCATCTAGCAGGTCTGTGTTACTAAATTTTTTCTTTTCACTTACTTGTTGTTCATTCCCTTCCTCATTGTAACAGAGATAACAAATAGCCATCCAATAACGGTATGAACAAGTTGGTTTTGATGATGAGCATGAGATGCATCTATGCGTTCCATGAGACAACATTTTTGTGTGTGTGTGTGTGTGTATTTTAATATGGCTTTATCAGAGGAAAAACAACAGAGGATGGTAACAAGTGGAATGGCATTGTGACAGATTAATCTTTTCCTGGTAAAGATGGAGCAGATATATTGTTTGAATGTCTGAGTGTAACTGTAGCAAACTGAAAGCCAAGCACAGTTCCAGAATAATTCCTTAATTTAAAAAAGCCCAAATCTATATATGCTTTTATTAGTGTGGTGTTTGCACCTATTAAACCATTCTCTTCAGAATTAATTATCATGTGTTAAACACCAAGTTGCCAAGCAAGTTCAAGCTTTGGGAATGCAGAGGAAATTGGTTGCAAAAAAAAAAAAAAAATCTAATTAAATCAAAGATTTAATCGGTAATGATTGATTGGTAATAATGATAGCTTCTTCCCTTTGACTGCTTCACCTTTAATGGGTGATTAATCCAGTTTATTTTTGTTTAAATTTGAGATATTTATTCACATGCATTTTTAAGAATCAGCAATCTAAGAATCCCTGAAATACATCATAGGTGAAATCCTTTGAGAAGGAAAGACAGACGGAGAAAAGGATTTTAGAATCTGACTTAGTAGATCACCTGGTCCAGAAACTGAAAACTAAAATCTGTGATGAAAGATGTAGTAGGTAAGTAGCATAACAAGTGAACATGAACAGTCAAAATTACAAGTGATTGCATGCTTTTTAATTAAGTAATTTTAAGAAATGCTCAATTAAACTTTGATTTTATTCTGTAAAGAATAAGAGCTTTGCCAAATTGCTTTTGCAGGGAAAAGAAAGCAAAGGGCCTGGTTATAGAATTGCTGTTTTCACTGAGATGAAGAGATTGATCTCCGTAGCAATCAAAATGGCCTCAGACATCTTTAGGACTTCACAAATTAGAAGGCCGTGTGTTCAGCTAGAGTTATTTTCGGATTGCCAGTTCAAACACTACTTGAACAGTGGTATTGTACGTACTGCAGGGCTGCCTAGAGGTCCTTGTTACTGACCAGAAGTCTGTTACATTTATATACCATGTAGTAATCAAAGAATCGAAGCAGCAATTCCCTTTCATTCTGAGGCAGAGCAGGTGCAGTAAAAATGAAGGTGTGATTGTAGCACAGCTATATGGCCTGACTCACACAAGTGAAAGTAACACCCGGCAAAGACTTGGGACGCAACACCTCATCATATCTTTGTTCAAATTACTGTGTAATGTGACCAGCAGAAATTAGTACAGAAATCACAGGGAAGGCTACAGTCACACCTGTGTGCACACACAGTAGAACTGTTGTACACACACATCTCTTGGTAAACATATAATTATACACACATGCATGTATGTTTATACATATATATATATAGTGCGTGTGTGTGTGTACATATGCAAGAACAAACACAAACAAGAAACTAACAGATCTGCTATCTGTATTTCTGAATAGGCTTTACAATAAAAGAGATCTTCAAGCTAAGACATGCTTAAATCTCAATAGTTTGTGCTTAGTTGCAGTGAAATGACATCTTCTGCTACCCATCTCTTCGTTATCCTTAATTTGGCCTCTGCCAGTCTTCATCAGCGTTTAACTTTGCAGCTAACATGATTCTTGTGTGTCCTGTGACAGACCTACAGGATCTAGTAAAGGCTGTGAAAGAAAAGCATAGTGCCTAAAAGAAATCTTTCTTACAGATCCTGAGAACAGAATACAGGAAAGCCCGTATTGATGATACTAAACAAAGAAATGCAATAATATGATTGTAGTAATACTGCCAGATTTCTTTGTTAACAAATCCTGAATTTGGAAAGTAAAAGGTGTCAAACTAATAATTGAAAGCTGCTTTCAAATTGTGTGACGTTATAAATATTACTTTGATACTTTAGCATTATCTCACAGAAAGCTGTAAGAAGTTATATATTAAATTCAGTTTAGAGAGAATATTGCTTATAGTACTTGCTGGTATATAGGATCCAAACCATTGTTGGAGGACAGGGAGCACAAGAATTTTTTGTATCCATGGAAAACTTAAGGATTGCTGGACTTTTGGCACTGGACTGTTTGTGTAGCCTGCTGGGCATGCAAGATGAGATTTTTATACTGCAGTTATTTTGTATGCTTTCCTACCTACTCCTGAATAGAAAATTTAATCTGCAGATAAGTGCTGGGAATCGCCATACATTTCTTCAACCGTTGGAGTAAAATAAGTATACATGTTATGATAATCTGGAACCCAGCATTATTGCAGTGTTCTTTCATTATGTAAATTTGTTTCCCTGTCTTTCTTGTTTGTTTTTAGAGAAACCTCAGATAATCTCTCAGTACAAAATCAAAAGGGATCATTTGCTAATATTTCAGGTATTTGATCTCTGGTTATAGAATATGCACATTGATTTCTGTCTCTGTTGAATACTGTTTGTAAGAAATATTTGTTGGATCGTAATTTTAAATGTGTTGCCAAAGTCAAGAGGAGTAAAATGTTTTCCAGCAGTATATCCAGTTAGAGACGCCTCCTTCTGATCTCAAATGTTGTCCTGACATTTTCTCCAAACTAACAAAGTGAAATTGCTCAGACCAACAGATAGAAGAACATTCTCTATGCAAGCATTCACTGTTGCAGTTATTTGGGAGGGAGGGGAAAAAAAAACAAAACAGGAATAGATTTAGGTGAGATGTTAAATGTCATCTGGATGAAAAACATTGTGATTTGTGATTGTGAGTCTTGAGACTCATTCACTTTGAACTACTGTTCTGCTAAGATTTTTTTTCTTCCTTTACATATCTAGCTACAGATTTGCACTCCTCAGTCTGATAACTGATGTTTGCATATTAAAAAAAAATCCCTTAAGTACTTGATATGTGCATAAAATAAAGTTTGGAGGTTTTGATAATTATCTTTAGTATTGTAATGAATGCCTGTACAGGGTATTTTCTTGTTTTGGTTTAAGAAAAACTAATTTTTTTTTGTAACAATGGGGCAGAGGTTGCCACACAACTCAGTTTTTTTGTGATTAACTGAAGTGAGAATATGGATCTCAAAATAAGCAGTTAGACAGTTTAATTGCTGATCTGTTTTTTTCATTGAATCTATATTGGACTGAGTATTAATCATTGCCTCATTCTTTTAATAGCCTTTCTGTTTGGCATTAGATATACTATATTCCTCTGTAAAATTCTGTGTTCCAATTGGAACCTTGTGTTAATCTCAGGGAACACTCACGTAAAACACCAAATTTTTTATTGCTGCCAGTCTTTCAAAGTCATAAATCAGCATTTAGGAATTTACTTGCACATGTTCCACTGTCCTGTCTACTTGACTGACTTTGTTTCTGTAGTGACCTTTGGACCCTATGCTATATAGATCTTACCTCATTAACATTTGTGAATTTTCTGCTTGTTACTTTTGTTACTTTTTGTATAAATACAGAATGTATTCTAAAACTATAAATACAGAATGTATTCTAAAACTATATGTTTGCATTTTAGGTGTGTTTGACTCGCACGGAACTCTTATAGTGCCTAATGTTAGTGTTATAGCTCCTGAAAAATTATCTGCCAGTGCCAGGCGTCGTCAAGAAATTCAGGTACACATGCACACAAATCGAATAAGTATTGAAAATGATTCCTTAGAAGTTTTTCTAAAGAAATGTTGGAATTCACATTTTCCATAGCATCTAAATTACTTTATTACATTCTCTTTATTCATAAAAAAGACTGGGAACAACACAGAGGGTTGAAAGTGAGGAAAATTTTTCCAGTGTTTAGGACTTCGGGGATTTCCTGTAACACTTCTGTGGCACAGCTATCAGTCATTTTACATGTATATTAGAAATCTGACTGCAATAGGAACAATGGTTCTGGAATTTCCTACTTCTTTTAAATGCTCAAGCATGTTAAAGTTGCAAGTTCAGCCTAGTTTTCATATGCAACCTGTTTGTAAAACTTACTCCATAGGCATTTCATTATGTTGCCTCCACATAAAGGCCTAAGAAAAAATTCCAGATTAAAAAAAAAAAAACTGGCTAAAATGCAATATAATAGTATTGTAGAAAAGGTGAAGTGATGCTAGAAAGAAATGGCAGAAGTTGCTCATTTCAGATTATTGGCTTCAAGATATTTAGATTACATGGTAAAACAATTCTAATTTTATCCCTCCTTTAATCCAAATTTGGGCGTCCAACAAAAATCCCCTCTTGTAAAAAGTTCTTGGGACCCAAATAAACAAGTAGATGTTATTTTCTGAGCTTTGAGCTAAACAGACTTTCTGTTTTAAGTTTTTTCAAGCATCTTTCTAAGCGATTGAAGCCCATTTTTATGCCAGGCTGCAACTATTTCTGTAAGATTTGCAGGATTAGTAGTTTGCTCTGAAAAAAGCATTACGAGGCATGAAACATATACTTTGCTATTGCCCTCAAATCAGTCATCCTCCTTTAGCCAGAGACAATTCAGCGTATCCAGTGTATTGTGTTCCTCTGAAAAGTAATCTGATGCCAATCAATAGAAATGCAGTTTTGATTTACTTAACGCAAGAATTCACGACAGAACATGCAGTTCTGACTATCTGCTTTAGTATAGTACCAGTATTATCAAATCTTTCCCATTGCTGCAAGGGTGGTTCAGTCACACTCTCCTTACTATCAGTTTATCAAGGACTATTGTGGATTTGTTGCTGAAAGTTATCTTAAATGTCAATTTTAGTTTAAATAAGATCAAGTTCTATATTTTGTGTTAGAAGCAGCCTCTTCTGTTCTCATGATCTATAAAATAGAAAACAGGTGTTCCCAACCTGTGTCACAGAAGCAGTATGCATTTTATTTTTGCCCATCTTTTGTTGGCAGGTACAAACAAGACTTCAGACTTTCATTTCTAGTCTGCAACAGAAAACAAGTGAGATTGAGATTTTAGCAGTAAGTATTTTGCAGAAGCCTGCATTAATTTCAAACCCTTAATTGAATTGGGTGATGCAGTTGCTATTTGGCAACAAATTACTTCCACCAGTCTCACTTTAGAGATAGAAAATATGAAACTTCTATCTAAAGTGAAGACCCACATCATGTCAGTTTAATGCTTGAAAAGTATTTCATGTTGTGGGTATTGGACAGCTGCACAGAACAAAATAGTTGTTTAACAAGTATTTAGCTGTAAAGTCTTAAGCTGTACTTATCCTAACTACGATGGTAGAAGATTTAAGGGGACACTCCTGCTGGATTTGCTGTTACATTTAAACTGTCGTGGCTTTTAGTATATAACTTTTAGGCTTTGCTGAACATGTCACAAAGGACTTTAAAATGGTACATGCTCTCTTCAAGGAATAAACATGTTTGTCCGTTTGTAGCTTTCCCTAACAAAACCTTTCATGAACAGCTTGTTTACAATGCTTAAAGCTGGCAAATTCCCAGTTCTATCAGTACGGATTCCTCTGTGGAAATCAGAATTTCTGACTCCTTTTTATACAGATGATCTCTTGTTGGAAAATTGACAACAGGAATAAGAAGGTGTTAAGTATTTGATTCCTTTATATTATTTTTGCAGGTAGATCTGCCAAAAGAAACTGTGATACACCTCTTATCATTAGAGGTAAGCAATTAAGTATGGTCTTTGAAACTCTGACTCAAACCCTAATTGAACAACAGATTTTAAATTTTGTCCCTGATGGGGTCGGATGTAAAATTCACCCGTAACATTCTTCCTTCCCACCCCCCAAGGAGTTTGAATTGGGTTTTAAAACTTCAAAGCACTGTTTTAGCCAAAGGGCTTGAATCAGGCTAGAAAAATCATTCTGCCAAATGCACAGACACCATCAGGAGCTCTTAATCCAAGCTTGAGGTTTCTGCTACGAACAGTTAACTGAAATTCAGTCTTACTGCTCCTTTTCAGAGACCGGTAAGCTTTAATATGCCGGTTAAGCAAAGGCTCTTTGGGAGTTGTTAATGAAGGAGGACCCAAAATACAGAGGCAATTGTTTTGAGTACAGTAGCTGAACCATCTCTTAGTGAGGCCAAGGTAAATAAATAGAGGATGTACGAGTACTCTGTTGACCATTTTAACAACCTCTTGAATTAGAGGTGAATTGAAACCTCTTGATTAGAAAAAATGAAAAAGTTCTTTGCCTTCCTCCAGCGAGAGCAGTGGCTTTAAAGTCAGCTCTCATTAGAGAAATGGACTCCTCCAAAAAACTCTCAAGAATGACATCAGGCCTGGAAGTGGATCTGGCACTCCCATTCCTATTTTATGTCTGCTGCTCTGAAGCAGTGCTTGGCTGGTAATCAGACTTCAGTGAAATACTATAAAATATTTTCAAAATACTTAATTGATCCAGTCTATCCAAATGTGGAGACAGTTTATCACCTTTTACTTCAAAAAAGGGAACATGCACAGTGTCAGTATGGCCATCTTGCATGATAATTCACTTCTGACTGTCGTTATACTAAAGTTCTTACATGCTTTTTTATTTCTAAACTGTTAAGTTCATTAATAAGTCTCATTCTTAATATATTTTCTAAAAACAACTCAAATATTGCAAGTTTTGTTTATACAAATTTTGTTCAAAACAACCTGTTTTTTTGATGGGCTGTTTAAGTTAGGGGCATTGACATTACGCAATGTTCAGAGGAGTGAATCCTATCAGAAAAAGGTTTTATTTCAGAAGAGAATATAATACTGTATCAGTGGTCCTTGTCTAATTCTTTTCCTTAGTTTGATGGAGATAGACAAGCTTTTGATGCTACTGTGAGACAACTGATGTCACGATGGCCAAAACAGAGATCCTCATATCTGCAAGCAATTTGTGATGAAATTTACAGTATCAAAATGGAGAAGAGGTAAATTTGTTAAGCTATTATAGATACGTAAAACATCCCAATTATTTCTGCATTTGAACTTCACTAAATGAATTGCTCTTAATTTGTCTTCCCCTTTCCCCTCCCCCCTGAGGAAAAAAACCAAACAGTAAGGAAATGTGTCTTTAAGTACTATTTTCCCCTACCATGAAACAAAAGACAGAGTTAACTGGTCACCTGGTCCTCATTTATGGTAAATACTAATCTAAATTCTACATTTTTGTAAATTTTTTTCAAGAAATTGTGAAATATATTCCATTTTCTTATGGAATAAGAATTTATTCATAAAACTGAACAGCAAACAGTAGTATGCAGTATACATTCATATGTACTACAGTATACATTTGTGTATACCACTTATCAGATGATAATCCCGTTTTCTCATAGGACTGACTCAGCTTGACTTTCAAGACTTGAGCACCTTTATTTCCCTCTAATATGAGGGGAGACTATGGAACCTGATACAGCTGATAGACTGTCCAACTTTAAGCGAATATTGTGCATGCTCTTCCTGCATGTACAAGTAAAGCCTCTTTCTGTTTTCTAAGCATAAAAAACATTTGAGTTGAACTCTTAACCTCCTTGTCAGATTCTAGCAAGGCGGAAACAGTTCCATCTAGGCACATCCAGTGTTAGGCCTCAAATTTTAAACTTGTAAGTACTAGTTAAATGAGACTTGGTATTTATATCCTGTGATGGGTTTCATTTATACTACGTTTTCCTTAAACTTCTGTTCAGTTTGAAAGTACTACTTAATAACCTTTAAATAAGACTAAAATTGACTTTGATGCTGTCCTCTTAAAAGAGGATGCAACAAAATTGCTTCCTGTTTAACCTTTACTAAGACAACTAAATATCAGAATACTTTCTTCTGCAGCTTTCGGGGCTGTAAGCAAGAGACTGCAATTGCTACCTGCTAAAATATGCTGGGTGACAATGTAATGTGTGGTCCCTGATGAAGTTGTCCTTTCCTGTTTCATGCCTCAACACAAAACATAGCTTAGGCATAGCCTGCAGATCACTGAATAAAAGCTGAATGGGCTATATAAATGGCAAGAGAATGAAGGGGAAAACTGCAGGGGCAGTCAAAACTGAAGTTAGCACTTTTCTCCTGAATCTTTACTGTTAGCTTATTGCCAAGATTTGCCACGTTTTGCTCTAGTAGCTTTTGAACCTGTAGTCCCAAAGTTAAACATCCTCTTTTTTCCTCCCCCCTGCAGGGTTCCTGCACTTATCCTGTACAGTTACCGAGATGAATACAAGGTTTTGTTTTAGTGCTTCAAGCATCCTTTATACGATGCTTCCACTAATGGACAACAAGTTGTTTTTGTATAAAGGAACTTCAGAAAGCTGTTATAATGGAAGATAGGCAACTGATGCCTTTTTTACGTGTCCAGCTTGAATTTCATGTGTAATATAAAACTGTAAATGTATTCAAAAAAGTGGAAATAAATGTTTTATAGTCACTTAAGGAGCAAAGTCTGACCACAGCCAGAGCCTTGCGATACCCTGTAATTCTTGTCCCCTTGCCATGCAAAAGACAAATTATCACCTGTACAGGTGTGAAACTTCTATTATAATGTAGTTTCAGAATGCCTGTCATGTCAGTAACCAACAGTAGTACTGAAATGAGAAACTCAGGTCAAAGATTAGAGAGGATGTATTATTTTCGGCTCTAAAGACGGCTTTAAACTTTTTTTGAAGAAGGCCTTCACATAAAATAAAAGGTTTGGTTATTGATCCCTTCTTGAAGTACATATTATAAGACTCTTTTTTTAAACTGCTACTTTAATCTTAAATCTCAGTCCTGTTTTTTGTACAGAGATTTTAAGTTGTTTGAGAGCTGTTGCAAGCCTGGTTGCCTATGCTTGTCGTGCCCGTACTTTTGCCTTTAAATCAAGCAGCTGCTTCCTGAGAGCTAAAATAAGTCTTGATACACTAAAAGCTAGATTCAGGTCCTTCAGGTCTGAAACAAAGGATTTAAAGAAAAACAGCAACCAGCAGATGCTTAGAGCCATCGCTACAACTTTTGAATTAGCTTTCTTCACAAGGGTTGTCAGATTAAGTTTGTATTTCAAGACATACATACATAGAAACGATGGGGATTTTAGAATTATTTTCTTGCAGTTACAGCTTCCCTGTCAAGGCTTTTTAAAGTTGTCTGTAACGGCTGCACATAGTTAAAAGCTATACAGTCATACAGCCAAGTCAGGAAAAATGAGGTTAAGCAAATCTAAAGATGAGATATAGCAGCCTTAGCTAACTATACGTTTCACATCAAATTAGTTATAGTATAGGAATGAACATGCAGAAAAGCGAGGGATTTTCAGAAACATACTGGTGCTTACCCTCCCTCCCCTCCTCCCCAACTACTGCCTTTCATTTAAATAGTTTGTTCCTGTTCCTTCATTCTCTAACTTGCCTAAATGATTGTCTTCAGCATTGCAGGCTCGTGGCACTGTCAAATACCTATATTTTCTGCCTTTTTTTCTTGCAGTGGAGCAGAGGGTAAAGTTAAAATATGTGAAGAATAAACTGTACAGACAAATAAACCCCAAAACTTCTTGTAACTACAGAAGTTGCAACAGCAACACTCAGAGTAGTATCAGGAACAAGTCAGTCCCAAAGGCACAGATAACTGTCATTCCTAGCTGTTTGCTGAGGCAAGTAACAGTAGTCATTACAACCACATCCATTTCTCATCATATTTAATAGGAACAATTAAATATTCAGCTTTTACATCTGCTTCTATGAAGGCGCTACTTCAAGATGTGAAGTATGGGGAATTCAGATCCCTGAATAGGGTGAAGGATGAAGGTGTTTTTTTTTTTTTTTTAAAAAAAAAAAAAGGGTTCTGTTGACATGAGCAGTCTTAAGCCATGTCTAAATGGAACATGATGCAGACTCCTGCCCTCTCCCCAACCCCAACTAGAATCAGCAGAGCTGTATCAGCATGGAGCAAAGACACAGCTGATTGATTAGCTCTGTGAGAGCTCAGGCACTGTACTGCCTTAGGGATATCTGCACTGCATCATGTAGACATGTCCCTCAAAATAAGAAAAAGGAAAGCTGCCGTTCCTAATAATATGTTGGCACCCACCTTCCCTACTACTACTGAGGCTTATCTATAAAATTGGGCATCTGTCACTGAGACTTCTGTTCTAGCATCACTTTGCTCATGTTGCTGTGCATTTCTCTTCACCCTGTGTTACCCCCTCCCAATGGGTTTTACACTGCCCACTTGTATAATACAAAACAAACAGCAGTATAAGTACAAAACTAGTTGGCAGTCGAGTGTAAAGCTATTGCAGTATAACCCTGTAAATACTCCTGCCGTACAACAATCCACAGAAAGCACTTTTGGCTTTCAGTTTAAACACGAATACTGATCACATCCCAGTATCCTGCTGGAAGGAAAGCCAAAGACAAGTGGTAACTCAAAAAGAAATGGACTTTGCTTTGGGCAAGGGTCTGGTCTGTTAAAGTGATGCTAGGACACTGTTCCATCACTGTGTTGCTTTACTCTTCTTGTTTTTGCTTTTCTTGTCTTTTTTCTTCAAGCCATCCATGTTAGCTCTCAGCAAATTTGAGTATGCCTGAAAGAACAATTAGAACCATTGAATGAACAAATACTTGGGTGACAGTATACTAGCTGTAACATATTACATATTATTCATGGATATGTACCCGCATTTTCTCAATTCTTAGTTATAGAATCATGTTCTTACCAATGCAGAAAGTTAGCTAACATACAACTGGATTTTTTTTTTCTTAAAGTGAAGACAGACAGGCAGTCTAAGATGAATCTGTATGCCAATTCAGCACTGAATCAACCCATTTGCAGCTGGGGGGAAAAGACATCATAATAGTTCACATCTGTCCAGTGCTTCCTACTGACTAGTCCTCCCCAATACCTACAAAAAAAGGGAGATAGATAGAAAGCATACAAAACTTACCATCTGGAATTTATTCACTTCCTTTGAGCTCACCTACAAAAGTAATACTAGAGGTTAATCAACAAAATATTGGCATATATTATAAGCTAAATATCAGTACATGTTTACCCATCACTGACCATCTAGTCTCTTTAGCAGCATCTAGACCAACTCATCACATTCAGTGCTACATAGGCTGAAATGATGTGTCAGAGGCCTTCACTAATTTAGAAAACCAAAACCACTCCTCACTAACTGAGCAAAATCCTCTGGAGTTCTTCCCAAAAATTCATGTGTTTTCAAATGGAGAAAAGGTGGAGAAACATTCTAAGGAAGGTTTGGGGCCATATCTTAATTTTTTGTGGAGATGATACAAGCCCTGGAGTAAGATATTTTATAGACCATATTCTCTCAGCTCTTTCTCAAAATAACATTTTCCTTGCATCCCCACTGAGATGGAATCCAAAACCAATTACAGCCTTTTCCCATCTCTCAGTTAAAGTGAACACATCAGGTTTTCAACATCTAAAGTTGGGAATTCCTGAAATACAAATACCTCTGTAAATAAGAAATTCAGGAATACTAAGTGAGATTGAGGCTTAGAAGAGTCTACCCCATCCTCACGCACTCTTGGCAGGAAACAAGGATCCCTTTTCTGTTGTTTCAGTCTGGGAACGTACGATTGTTTCCTGGGTTGCAACAACCTTTAGTCAACCATCTAGATCTATAGGAAGCGACCTCTTGTCACCTGAAGTTGGTCTGTACCTTTCTGCTCTTTGGTGGCATGCCATCTGTCCTGCGTCCTTTCCCAATGTCATCCTTCTCTGTCAAAGCAGTTTCCCCCAACCCTCCAGAGAATTTCACCCAGAACGTGGCAGCCAATATTGCTGAAAACAGGCACGGTCCCTTTCTGCTGTCCAGCAATACCATTTTGAAGCAAAATCCAGTATACATACAGAGTGAAACTAACCAGTTATACCATCTGTAACACTGAGGTGAAGTACAAGTATTAGCAGCTAAGCGTTACACTTTGGCAGCCAAATTACAGCTGTGTTTCGCTACCATTCGATTTATCCCTGGTATTAAGAGGTTAGTTTTCATAAAACTTGTGCCAAGAGACATTTCACGTACAATATGGGACATTACATCAGAGCAAAGTAGGACTGCTAATCATTCCAAAGTCGTCACTTACCACTGTGCTAATTTTCTTCTTTCCATCAGTTGCTCTTAAAAGACACTTATTGTCTGCTGGTTCAAAACCTTCTACGTGGCCTTTGCGCGGGACTGGTTTTGTTCGACCATCATCTGTATTGAAAGACAAAACCTGTCTACTCACGTTTCACTAAAATCACCGGATATCTCCTGACATGAGATGCTAAAAATAGCTCATGAGGAGATCTGTAAAACCCTTAGAATTTAAGGCCATCTGAGCTGACACTGCCACCATATTGTTCCACGCCCCCCCTTTTCCCTATGACCCCAGCAGCACTTGCTCCGTGAACCAGATCTGCCAGAAAAATACCCCACTGAAGAATGTAAATCCTTACAGTGGTATACTGTAGGAACTGCTTGTTTCAGCAGCCCTATGTTTTAAATGCATTTCAAACTGCAGCCTATGATGCTTGACTTCTCAAGTACTGCCAGCTATCCAGAACTTTCCTAAGAAACACGATAAGCAAACGAAAGCAACACTGTACTTCTCTTTTAGAAGTCCGAAGATGAAAGTTTCCAACTACCGTTTTAAAAATTAGAAAGTCTCCATATTGCCTGACAACCTTATTTAACAATCATTAATCCTGCAACTAATTTGAATATTTTGTCCATACTGCTACCTTTGTTTTCAGATGCTCCAACTGAAGAGTATATCTTTTAAAAATATATATATTACCAACACCAGAAATTCAATTTAAGTCACTATCTCTTAAGCCCGATAGCAAACTTAAAACTTACATTTCTTCAGCGTTATGAAAACACTGCCCGAAGTTCTGCACTTCTGAAAGAGTCTTGTAAGCTCTGTCAGGAACTGCAAGAAAAAGAGACCGCATCCTTGGCTGAAGGCCACCACATAAGCATTTATTTCTTCTCACTATACAGCGTAGTGATTTCTGTCTGAGCAGCAGCCGTCGCCTCATTCAGATGGCGCTGTTACAACAAAGCAAGTCGCTCTAAATTACCTGGGAATAAGCAGTGGTTAAGAAAAGGAGAACTAACATTTTTTTTTCCGCTCAGGAAAATACCAGGCATGACGTACCGGCCAGGGACGGCCGCTCCGAGCTTCAGCCTCTGCGGAAAAAAAGGCTGAAACTCCCCA